ACTTATATTCTTACAGAGGTATTTATTTCGATGAGATATATATTGCTGAGAAGAAACTGAGGGGAAAAAAATCAAACCAGAGATGATACAAATGCAAAGTGCTTAAAAGTATTTTTCTTTTAAATATTAAATATTATAAACATGTCGGTCAGCTCATACCTTAGAACACCCAAAACATCTGTAATAAATGTAATTACTTCTATTTTCCTCATTTGCCAAAAGTGAAGTCCATCTACTCAACATTTACTTGAATGCCATGGGCTTGGAGCTGGGAGTGCAGTGATGAGCAAGCCAGATGCATTCCCACCCCCACGGAGCTTTTAAGTTTGTGGGAGACATGGAAAACAAATGAGTAAAGAGACATCAGAATCAAACTACAATTATCAGCATTCATTAAACATATTCTGAAAGACAGCTGCATAAATTAGCCTTCCATGCTTGTGACTGGCTTTCCTGAGCATGTTTCCAAACTGTTAAGCAGCACTTGTCATGTGTCACACAGATGTCCCATTCTGGGTGTGGCTAACTGAGAGCAGGAAAACTCCAGGGAAGTCTCAACAAAGAGCCAAACAGATAAAAATCTACATGGGTTTTTGTTATGTGAAACTATGCTGATAACAAGGGTAGAGACCATAAAAAGGAGGCACAAATGACTTACAGAAGATGAGGAAATAGAAGTCACAAACAATCTAAATCTAAGGCATTTAAAAACTTGAGTATGAAAAAAATAAAAATGAAAATACAAACGAGTATGCTCATGGCTCACACGCACGTCGTTTTCCATGGATCTGGCTTGTATAACCTGAATATCAAGTCTCACATATGGCCCCATAAAGGAAAAAGGGTAAAACACGAACAGTGATCTTGCTGGGTTGTAGATAACTTCAGTTTTTAAAATTCTTTTTTCATTTCCCAATTTTTTTTTTTTTTAAGATTTTACTTATTTATTTGACAGAGAGAGAGACAGCGAGAACAGGAACACAAGCAGGGGGAGTGGGAGAGGGAGAAGCAGGCCGAGCAGGGAGCCCCATGTGGGGCTCGATCCCAGGACCCTGGGATCATGACCTGAGCTGAAGGCAGATGCTTAACGACTGAGCCACTCAGGTGCCCCATCATTTCCCAAATTTTCTATAGTGGGTATTGTTACTTTTATATCAGAAAATCAGAATATCTTTAAAGACAAAACAGTTTTTACTATTAATGCCCAAACTTCATGGCCTTCAAAAATAAAACAAAACCACCCCAAGAAAACAAAAAAGCAATTCCAGACCATGCAGAGCCCCCTGCCACAAATGTACATGTTAGAGCTTTTGTATTAAGTTTTGTATTAAGTTATTTAGTTTCACCCATTTAGTAAACACGCATTAAAAACATATTTTATATGAACTACCAATTCTGGTAATTAAAAAAAATATGAAATGGGATTCTAGGACTAGAACCTCAGTATGTAACCTTTTATAAGAAATGCTGTAATTACCAGCTGCTAATCAGTTCAGAATTCTAGGGATGCCAGTCCTTGGGACTCCCCTCCACTGTACCCCCATTCTTTTTTTTTTTTAAGATTTTTTTAATTATTTATTTGACAGAGAGAGATACAGAGAGAGAGGGAACACAAGCAGGGGGAGTGGGGGAGGGAGAAGCAGGCTTCCTGCGGAGCAGGGGGCCCAATGTGGGGCCCGATCCCAGGACCCCGGGATCATGACCTGAGCCGAAGGCAGATGCTTAACAACTGAGCCACCCAGGCGCCCCTGTACCCCCGTTCTGAAGCATCCTATGAGATGTCAACAGGTGTCCTGACATGGTGGGCCAGAATCAGCACCACCCACTCCCTCATGCTGCCCTGCACACCCAATACACTGCTGGAGCGCCCAAGTTCAGGATAACTGGAAACTGAGCTGGGACAGGAGCACATCATCTCGTTTCCTAAAATAAAGGCATTAGCACTCAAGGCTAAAATAACCTCAAAATAACAGATGTAGTAGTGCCGGGAGCACTCATTTGAAATGCTTTGAAGTAGGTCTCTGCAGTGCTGAAACACTTGTTTGTAAATGGTTACAAAATTTCATACTCCACCCAGAGAAGGGCATCCCTGCAACAGGAAAGACACGGGAATCTGTTTGGGCTGCTCAGCTTCTGGGATCAAGCCTGGGCAACTCCGCAAGACACGAGGAGTTATGTAACACAGGTGGCATTAAGCAGGGAGTGACCTACCATTCCTGTGGATCTGTTCCCAGAAGGGCATAGCCAAACCCGCAGATCACATAACTGCCTCTGCAAAATATGTACCCAGTGACAATTAAAAGCTGGGGCTCTTGGCCGGCTCAGTTGGTAGAGTGTGTGACTCTTGATCTCGTTTAAGTTTGAGCCCCATGCTGGGTGTAGAGATTACTCTAAAACAAAAAAAATCTTAAGAAAAAGCTTCCCTTAGTCGCTGCCCACATTCAAATTCATGTCTTTGCCAAGACCACAGATGAGTGGAGGGCCTGGCACTCGGACTCCTTCGTCCTTGCTGCATTTATTCCCCTTGGAGAGTTCATCTGGTCACATGGCTTGAAATACCGTCTATATACTCCCAACTGCCAATTTATCTCCAGCCTGGACCTCTCTTCTGAACTCTAGACTCATACAACCAACTACCACTTGACGTCGCCACCAGCATGTCCAATGGCACCTCAAGTTTAAGATGTCCAAAACTGCAGTCCCCTTTATTGCCCTCCCCCCCCAGCCATTCATCTCAGTTAACGGCAACTCCAGCATTCTGTTTTCTTGGACCAAAAAACTTGGTTATCTCAGACTCCTCCTTCACATTCTACCTATAATTCATAAGCAAATCCTGTGAGCCCTACATCCAAAAGACCCACTATTCAACCAATTCTCACTACCTCCAACACTGCCATCCCAGCCCATCACTTCTTTTTTTTTTTTAAGATTTATTTATTTAACAGAGAGAGACACAGCAAGAGAGGGAACACAAGCAGGGGGAGTGGGAGAGGGAGAAGCAGGCTTCCCCGCAAAGCAGGGAGCCCGATGCACGGCTCGATCCCAGGACCCTGGGATCATGACCTGAGCCGAAGGCAGACACTTAATGACTGAGCCACCCAGGCGCCCCCCCCAGCCCATCACCTCTTGACCAGTGTACTGCAAGGGCCTCCTAAGTGCCTCCTCTTTCAGCCCTTGGTCTATTGCCAACAAGCAGCAGAGTGATCCTGTTAAAATACAAGAGAAGTGATCCCTCTCCCTCTGCCCCTCCCCGTGTGTGTGCTCTCTCTAAAATAAATAACTAAATCTTTAAAAAATCAAATCTCTAAAAAATAATAAAAGAGAATAAAACATTTAAATTGAAAAATATGGGGGAGTGGGGTGGAAAAGCAGCTTTGATAAATGCTGTTCTATTACGGAGTGGTAGTAAAGAGAAATATGTTAGCTGTTAACTTCAAAACTTAGTTGAAGCAGACCATTTTTAGAGTTCATTAGATATTTTTAAAGAGTTATGAAGCGTTTTTCTTTTACGATTATTTTTTAATTTTTTAATTATTTTTTAAAGATTTTATTTATTTGTTAGAGAGAGAGAGAGCACAAGCAGGGGCAGAGGCAGAGGGAGAAGCAGACTCCCGCTGAGCAGGGAGCCCGACGTGGGGCTCAATCTCAGGACCCTGGGATCATGACCTGAGCTAAAGGCAGACGCTTAACCGACTGAGCCACCCAGGCGTCCCACAATTATTTTTTAAAAAGGTGCCTGCTTTGTCTCTAGGAACAATAATTAATTTGACTCTCATCCAACAATTATCAGAATACTGATCTGATGAAATAAAGTTTCTAACAGATCTACTGCAAACATACACAATGCTTACTTTTACTTTTATCAAACAACTGTAACTGGCTGACAACGTTCTGACA